GTAAATATCAATTTTGAGTGAATAATCTCCAGTAGTTACTAAAATATCGCAGTTTTCGTATTTCTGAAAATTACCGTTATATGGGAAGTAGGCGTGGTTATTGAGCGATTTTAAAAATGTTCGGCCATTTGGTATGTTGTGCGAAGGCCAACAACTGTACAAAGTTTGGAAGAAATTGGTGCAGCGGCTACCAAGATATACACATGTAACCATAAGTGGTCGTGGCTACGCCCATTTTCCAAAAATTTATAACATTCTTATTTTTCGTCTAAAAATTATTGTAAATATCAATTTTGAGTGAATTATCTTCAGTAGTTACTACAATATAGCAGTTTTCGTATTTCTGGAAATTGCCGTTATATGGGAAGTGGGCGTGGTTAAAGTCCGATTTCGCCCATTTTCAATACCAACCTACCTTGGATTAAGGGAAACCTACATACCAAATTTCGTTGAGATATCTCAATTTTTGCTCGAGTTATCGTGTACACGGACGGACGGACAGACGGACAGACGGACGGACAGACAGACATGGCTTAATCGATTTCTTTTTTCATCCTGATCATTTATGTATACATTTGTCTATATCTATCTCGATTCGTTTTGGCTGTTACAAACAACCGTTATGTGAACAAAATTAATATACCCTTGTGCACAAGTGCGCTCGGGTATAAAAACATCATAATGGCGTGTGGTAAAAGATTTTTATTATGTATTTTTCAAAGAAACATAACATTGACAAAATAAAATACATTTAATGTACACAAATCACACGTGAACATTTAAAAGATCGTGCATTTATGCAAGCACAAGTGATAGCTGCACTTTTAAATGAAAATTTGCTAGTGGAAGTGCAAACAATTTAAATAACAAATTACTTAAATACTAGTATTAAAAAAGTGAAAATAGTGGGAGTTTCTGTAAACATATCTGTTTCTTAGGATCTTCGCAAAGTTTCATGATAAAATTCGTTATAGTTTTGTTAAAACACGCGCATGTCGATGCACACTAAAGTCTACCCATGTATTTTATAAGTGCAATGTATGTGTTGTATATTATAATATTTCCCCATATGGTACGGAAGATTCTTATAGATTTTCCCTATGTACGTTCGTTTGCGTTATATGATCGTAAATGCGTTTAATTTTCACCTCTCCACATTTTTTCGGGTGCCCGGGTACCCGGGTAATTACCATACTGCCCGGGTACCCGGTCTACCCGGGTACCCGGGCTACCCGGGTAATTCAATACCCGGGTAGGGCTTCACCCGCTACCCGGGTACCCGGGTAGCTCATTACCCGGGTGAAATCATCAGCCCTAATATAAACGTATCAAAAAAGGACTAAATTTTCTGCTGAACTTCACAAGCGAGATCAATATAAGGCAAAAATAAACAAAAATATATTCGTATTAATATGAAAAACAGCAAAACTTTAATCAGAAATAATTTTGCACATGAGACCAGGGAAGCCAACTCATGGGGAACTCCCCGATTTGCGGGGAGTTTCAATTTGCGTGGGAATCGGGAAAAGGACCGTTTTTTGTGTGGAGTTTCATTTTGCGTGGGAAATCGGGGCTTGAATTGTGAGGAATTAAGTGTTAACTAATTTTTTTTTTGCTTGACTAATTTCATAATGACTTAAAAAAGTTACATAAGAAATGCAGCTGCAACTAAAAGTACTGATTACGCAATACGGCGGGTAGAAAATCTAGTTTATCTCAAATCTCTTGGTAATAGTGAAAATATATTGTATCATGAAGTCAACAACAAGCCTGCAAAATGTTAGTATTTTATTTTAATTGTAAGAGCCCGCGTATCGACCGCCAAGGGACCCAAAGCACACTAGTCGAATAAGACCAGTTCTTGTTCAGCAAAACGTTTGGTGCATATTATTAGATAATGAATCCGTTAACGCAAAAGATAAAGGCAAATATCATTTCTCGCAGCCCTTTAGCTAATCGTTAAACTCAAAGTTATCTGTTTTCAATAAAATTTTAATTGTTCTCTTGATAATTGCACTGGCCTATGGTCAAAAGATGTAAGGAACAGCACTAATATTGCTGGCGTGCATTTAGGTCGCTGCTTCCAAATATTCTAATCTTTTTTAATAAATATCAGCTATAATTAGCGAATTTTTGCAAATTTAGGAACAATTTCGGTAGCTCTAATAGAAAAGCCATTATTTTCCATCATCGCGGAAAAAATTTGTTTATGCAAATGAGTATGGAAACACTGAACAGGCACAACTTCTATAAACACTAATAAGTTTAGTTATTTTTATGCATCTTCTTTATATAAGTTAAACAAGTTGGTTTCACATTTATTTTATTAGATTTATTGATAGCGATCTTACTCGTTTAGTGTCTACTTTACAATTGAAGCTCTTTTGTTAACTAAGCCAAAGCCCAAGCCCAAGCATTCATAAAGCTGTGCCTCCATGTGATGTTGTTAGGCTTAAAACCATTTTCGTGGCTTTTTATGTGGGTATAGCAACAAATTCTGCTGGTACCGTAACATTTAATAGATCGTTGTAACGCACGTTGGTCGCTAAACAAACGGTGGATGTTAAGCTGTTGCTATGTGCTCTTATTGGTGACGATGATCATAAGATCTTGTTGTGCCCAGCATTGAGAGTGCAGCAACAAACTCTGCTGGAACCGTAACACTTAGAGCATTGTTATGCGCGTCGGTCACCTTACAACGGTGGATGTTAAGCTGTTGCTATGTGCTTTTGTTGTTGAGGATGGCCATAAAAGGGCACAGCATCAGCTTTCTGAGTGCAGGAACTCTGCTGGCACCGCATCAATTAGAGCGTTTTTATGCGCGTTGGTCACCAAAAAATAGGTAGATGTTACGGTGTTGCTTTGTACCCTTGCTGATGATCATGATGGCGATAGGGAGATGTTGCCAATGATAAAGATGATAAGAATTATGGTAAGCAGCTGTATGTATGTGTTCTTGTAGCAAGTATTCCAGCATAGAAAACCCAGTGGAATCTTTGAATGGCGTTTGCGGTTATGTTCTCCGAACAAATCTAGTTATGTTAGCGGCTGTGTTAACTTATATAAAAATGAATTGCTGTTCGTGTGTTATCGCATCACTGAAGAACGGCTCAACGGATTTGCTTCGTTTTTATTTCATTTTGTGTCTTTCTGTCTGTAGAAGGTTTGTAAAAAGAAAATTTAAAAACCGGTGCTGCCAGATATCTTAAATATCAAAAACAAATTTAATTTAAATAAGCCGCAATAATGGTATTCCACTGCGAATGTTTGAAAACACTTAAAAAAGTAAGAAATTTGCATAGGGTTGCCACCATTCGAATAAAATCTCATGTCACGGTGTTTGTGGTCAACTCTTCTGAAACGCCTTGACCGAATTGTATGACATATTTTGTGTATATTTGGAAATATATGAAATCAATATGGTAGGGTACTGGAACTTGGTATGGAGATCAGGGTGTCCAGATTGTTTAAAAAAAGCGCAATTTTTGAAAAAAAATCGCCAATAATCGTTAATTTTTTTTAAATAAAATTCATTAAATCGATTTGACAGATTTCTTTAAAAATACGCACAATTTTTAAAAATATTTGTTTCAACACATTTTGCAATAGGACTGCGCAATTACTAAATTTATTTTAACTCATATTAATTGATTAATCGCACAAGCCGCTTTCAAAAGTTCGGCGCTAAAAATTAAATAAAAGCCTATAATAAGGCGAGATCAGCTATTTCCACAATTTCTTCAAAATCACCTATAGTGTTTGAATGATTTACATTTCTGTTGTTGTCATATATTGAGCTATTCACCCTTGATGACATACTGTTTGATATTGGAAACATCCTATTTCGAATCTTAGTTTTTGTTGAATGCATTACGGAAAAAACGCGCTCAACAAAGCATGTGAGTGCGGCAAGGATAATAATATGAATTTACTTATATTGCCAAATATTTTATTGCCTGTTGCGCTCTTCACTCCGTAAGCAATTATCCAAAATACTTTAGAGTCGGATGCAATGGTTCTGAGAAAAGTTATTCCATTATTCAAAGTCAAGTAGTTAATTGGCAGGTCCCTGAAACTCCCCCTCTTGTGATTCACACACTTTTCTGGTCATAGAATCAAAGCTTTTTTAAAGGTTTTAATTGACTAGGTAATCGTTTCAAAAGTTCTTCGATTAGGATGATTCAACATTTTTGACACTCTTTTAATATGCTTCTTAAGTCAAGTTTATTACGCAGTTCATTATCCTCTTCTGAAAAATTATCGTGGAAAACTAAGTTGTGTATATTTTTATAATTGGAAAAAATTTATTTGAAGGGAAAAAATAGCCAAAAATCGCCAATGGCAATTTCCTAAATTTTTACGTGCAAATATAAAAAAAAAATCGCCAAATTGGCGCGAAATAGCCAAATCTGGACACCCGGATGGAGATATATAAAATCAATTTAGAAAGTGGGCGCGGGGAACAGGTCGTAAAGTGTATTTCATAGCTCCAAGTGAAGAAGGCGTGGCACCTCCTATAAAAGCCAAATTTTTCATACTGCATATCTCTGGAAGTGTTCATTGTAGAGTACTAGAGCTTGGTAGGGATATATGTATATGAAATCAATCGGATACCCTTGGAGAAAAATTGGACCTATTGAAAAAGGAGGCGTGGCACGTCCCATACGAAATTAACCGCATACTAATGAAAAAATTTATGTTATTGGAAAAGGGGCGTGGGACCAAATCGAGTTTTTCATACTGCATATTTCCGGGTGAGTTCACTCAAGTCAAGTACTCTACTCTACTCAAATAAGCCGAATTTTTCACACTTCACATCTCTGGAAGCATTCATGGTTGAGTACTCGAACATATAGTAGTATAGAGATATACGAAATCAATCCCATACTCCTAGGGGAAAATTGGGGATATTTAAGAAGGTTTGACCTGCCAGGTGGCGCTGGATTCCTGCCATTGGCCCTTATTATGAGTTGCATTCGATTTTCGATCTTCGCGGGTTATCGAAGATCGAATGTAAAATTGGTATTATGAGCTATGCAACCCTGTCGAAATTTCGTTGAGTATCGAATTTTCAGTCGAACAGAATTTTGCTTTCGATGCTGCAGCCTAGTGTGAGAAAATTGCTGATAATGTAAGTATTTTGCGTTTGTTTTTTTATTTTTTGGCGACTAAAGAGTAATTTTAAACAATTTTTATTAATTTCGTCGTGAGTACCAAACAACAACTGGAAATGCTGGTTTCAATGATGGAACAAAATCGTCAATTTGTAAAAGGGGTTTGCTCAAAGGTTTATGCGGCAAAAAAATGGGAAGAATTTACGCAGGAACTCAATTGTTTAGGACCACCGACGACGGCAAAATGGATTAAGGTGAACTGCGTCGTTTTTGATTTCTGTATAAATAAATTTTAGTTCTGGTCTTTTCAGGTGTGGGCTGAAATGAAGTCCAAAACTAAAAAGAAAGTAGCGCAAAACAAAGCTGAATACAGAGCAACAGGTGGAGGACCGAACAGGCTACAAGCATATACAAATTTTGAGGAGGCCATAATTGGCTTGCTTGAGCTTAACGCCTGTGTGAATCCACCGGGAGCAGAATTCGGCCTGGATATAACTGCTGATGACCAACGCCTAGATTCGGTAGAGGCGGCTCCATTAGATGAAAACCTGCAACCAATAGACAATTTAGGATTGAGCGATGAGGAGCACAATTGTGCAGTTCCGGAAAATACAGCACGGAAACCAAGAGCAAAAAAGTGCAACAAGACAGAGAGGCTTAAGTGGCTGGAAGCGCTGACCAATGCCCAAAAATGTTCTATGAGGAGATGATTACAAATATAAAGGACATTAAAAAAGTGCTTTAGAAACTGAAAAGTACTCGAGAATAATGTATTACTTAAAAAGACACAGCAAAAGAACTCCTACAATTGAAAAAAGAAAAATTACAAATCTTCAAAAATGAAGTTCTTCAAAGCCAGAAGGATCAGAAAGCAAAGCTACAACTAAAGGTTGCGCTTTTGGAGGTAAAGAAACAAATGCTGCCAAGAACATAATTTTATATTAATCTAAGTGCCTAAAATGAATTGACGTGATATTTTTTTTATATAATTAGTATTAAGAAGACTGTTTAACTTTAAGATAAGTGAATTAATAACCTTTTTTTTCTGTATGATGAATTTAGAAAGACTGTTTAAACTTAAATGTATATTAAAATAAGGAAATGAATTTGTGATAATTTTTTATGTAATGCACCTATATACGTCTGTATGAAACCAAAAAGATTTTTAGTTTAATAAAAAAAACTTTGGCGTAACGGGTTTTTAATATTTTTTAATCATGTTCTCTATAATGTTCTTAAAATTTCATTCCTAATGTCTTCTGCTTGTGAGTTGTCAACAGGTTCCACTTCAACGTCTCCGACATCATCGTCATAAGTCACGTTTGAAAACTCCTCCTCGTCGGTGATTTGTACATTATAAAACAAGCAAATGTTGTGCAAAGCTGCACACACATTTATAATTTGTGTTGCCTTTTTTGGAGTATAGTGAAGAGCTCTTGCCTGCAACAAACATCTAAACCTATTCTTCAAAACTTCAATTGTTCGCTCAATGATACTTCTTCCTTTGGCATGTTGTTTGTTATATGCCCTTTGTAGAGATCCTTCCTCAGAATTTCTGAACGGCGTCATTAAGTAAGGTTTCAGATCGTATCCACCATCACCTAAGGCGGAGAAAATTATTATAAAAAGGGAAATACATGTTTGTTTAGTTTTGATTACATACCAAGTAGCCAAGTAGCCAAGTATTTCGAAAACCATTAAGATGTTGCTGCTCGAAATGTGTTTTCAATGACGACATATTAAAAACCATAGAATCATGTGTCGCTCCCGGATTTTTGGCATTTATGTATCGTATTTTCATTGTATGATCACAGACCTGAAAATTACATAAGCATACACATTTAGAATCAGAAGTTACCCTCCAGTACTGCTGGAGTCAATCGCTACTTTTGAACCGCTACTGCACCGACTCCTAGGTAAGTAGCTACTCTATTAACCCGTGGTAGTACACATGGTAGTGCAGAGTCGAACCAGTCGTAAGCAGAGCGAAAGACTACGACAGAGGGCGCCCATAAATCACGCAAGTGACTACTTTAGTAACTCCCGGTAGTGCAGAGAGAGCCGATGGTGACTACCGCCTAGGACATTGCCTTGTAAAAGTAATCGATGAAATACACTGCAAGTAGTCGGTCGGTAATTGACGGAGTTCATCAGGTAGCTACCGATTTAGCAGTCCTGTAGTCGCTCTCCCGTACTGCAGGGTAATAACACATATGTATATGTATATGTACACTTACAACTATAGCATTAATGCTGAAGAATCCCTTTCTGTTATAATACAAATGCTGCAGTTCCTTCTTGGGTGCGACAATTTTAATGTGTGTGCCATCAGCACAGCCGATTATTCCTGGAATTCTACATTTGTTATAAAAATGTGATTTTGCTTGTTGCAGTTCAGCCTCTGTGTAATTGAATTTTATCCATCTTTGGCAAACTTTCCAGAACAACTAGCACTTCTGATAGCACCACGACACCGTGGGCTGTGCAAGTCCAAACATATTTTCATTGCCAATGCTAAGTTGGTACGATCCCTGAGCACAAAATCGCAGAACTGTTGCTAGCTTTAAAACATGCGGAATAGATTTCGCTCGAGTGCATTGATTCAGCAGGTCTTCTGTAGTGATCAGCAGGTCCACAAACGCCTCTTTAGATACTCGGAAGTTTTTTATAAATCTTTAAACAAATTTCCTAAATGTTGCATATGTCAAAACCTTTTTGGAAGGCCACACTTACGCAGTGGAATCCATTTATAAGGGGTTGGAAGCGTCCTTCAACCGTTTCCTATTTCTGGCCAGCTCCACTAAGCTTTCATCTTCTGATGAATCGTCAAACCACAACTCCGTCGTACTCATTTTCATTAAGTTCTTATCATCTCGTTTTCTTTTTAATTTTTTTTTTAGACAAATTTGTAAACAAACTATTTATTTTTACGTTTTAATCAACTCGTTTTTTCTTTTATTTTAATTTTCTCAATTTGTAAACAACCCGTCTCAGCTGACAGAAATATACTATTGTGAACAATCTAAACGAGCGAAATTCACAATAGCGCTATTGTTCATGGAATGAGTGCCATAGAGCGCCATAATACCAAATGAAAATTCGTTCGATCAGCACTTTCGACCACAGTCGAAGATCGAATGCAACTCATAATAGGGGCCATTGTTAAAAATCGTAGCTAGGATCCGATCTGGCTTACATTCGAGATACTTACGTATTGGTAACGGTAAGAGCAATACTATTGCAAAAAACAGCCGCCGGTTGACGCTGGGGTCGAGTTGTTACTAAAAATCGTCAAGTAAGAAAAAGGGCCGTGAATGTGCCCTTGCTTTACCACCGAGTAAGCCGAGCTCCCGTGTGTTGCGATTGGCCCAATGAACATGATTTCGAGCTTCATTCGGATACACCAGGATTGAGTTGTTCAGGGGTCAATCTCACATGACCAGCATTAAATCTACCATCAGAACCATTGTGCTCCTTGATAAGAGCTTTAAAGTATTTCGACTGAAATAAGTCTGTGTATATTGGATTTCTGTAGAACAACGATACTCACCAATTTTTAAATTGCCACCAACTATACCATACTATTTCAAGGACAGATTCAACATCCAACCGGATCATTGTTGCTGCCAGGGAGTGAATAGGAAAAAGTTCTTCAAATTTATTTCGTTTTGCGATTTACAGTGCTGTGAAAGGTCAGGTAATTGGAGAATTTTAAGAACTTCTTCACGAACATACACTTTCGTTAGGTTATTAAAGACGACAAGAGTTTACGGGATGCACATAGCTCAGTGGTTAGCGCTTCTGACTTTGAACATCGAATTCGCAGGTTCGATCCATGCTGAAGTCTAGAAAAAGAAGTCTGATGAGGAGATGTGGTGATCTCCGAAATAGTGCTATAACTTCTACCGCTTAGACTTTGTTGCTTTTTCAATTTTTCCTAATAAACAATCGTGGTACAAAGCTCAATAAAAATATTAAAAATAAAATGTTAACAAGCCACAATAACATTGACAAAAATATAGTTCTGTTTGCTGGGTTGGAGCTGCTTCGGCCGATGGAGTAAAAGGCGAAATGCTTATATTTTTCCCTTGTCCCTCCTACGCGTTTCGACACTCTCGTGTCATCTTCAGGGAGTCTGTTTTATTTAAACGATAAACAATAAACATGAAGAACGAACGAACACCATGATTAACAAAAACATAATAATAGTTGCATACATACATACATATATACAAAACAATAGTTACATATGTACATGAACCCACCCGACCAACGTACACGAGAATGCATCTGTTTTAGATATTTTAGCAACGCTTTCACCTACAAAACTATTGAGAACGGTTTACGAAAAAGTATCGTATAAGTATTACCTGTCCCTCAGTTTGTGGCAGCAGAAATATCGTTCTCGACATGCGTTTTCCAAAGGTTTTTCGAAGTGTTTTCGATAGTAGAAACGTATCTCAGACGGAAGTTATTTCGACCTGTTTCGCTATCGAGAAATTAATGAAAACGGCAATGTTTTCGATCCATTCGATTATCGAGAAAGTAACGAAAGCGTTAGGAGGTTGTTTCGAATTTTCTTGATAGTCATAGATTTTGCAAACTCCGACCTGATCCTATGGGATTTTTGAATTGTGCTATTTGATAAGGATAGTTATTTTTTTAGTTTAATATATTTATCCTGCAAAGAAGTTTCAATACTTAATTCGAATTGTTGCATGGTTCCTTAAATTATTCAATTTGATTAACTGTTTAGTGTTAGGTAAGTATTTATGCTCAAATTACTTTTACTTACTTTTAATGTTTTGAAATATTCTTACACAATTTTAATTAAAGCGATGCCTCCTTCTATATATTTTTTTGAATACTTTGTCCGAGAAAGGTTAGTGAAAAATTATAAAACAAATACATTCTCGATGCCTTATGCGGGTATAAAAGCAAAAATACAAACTTCCGTTTGAAATACGAGACTCTTAGGTGAGGCGGAAGAATTTTACATTAATTTGCACACATTGAAGGTAATACAACATTTAGGAAGAATTATTGAAGTATTCTGATTTATATTTTAATTTTAGTACGGCTGCATATGTGTTCTTCATGTTGTCGACGTCTTCCTTAAAGTTGATTGCGTTGTCCAATTGTTGTTGTATTCGTAGGCTCTCCAGTGTCATTCTCCTTCTTTCTCCTCTTTCGATGTCTAAAATTTCTGTGTTGCCGACGTCCGCTATATGTTCGTGCGTTGTTAAGTGTTGAGCCAGTGCTGTTGTCATCTTTTTGTATCTCGCGTCCGCTCTGTGTTCATTGATTCTTATACCCAACGCTCTTTTTGTTGTGCCTACGTAGCATTTATTGCAGCTTTCTTTATCATTGCCCTTGCACTTTATTTGGTACACTACATTGTGTTGTTGCTCCTTTTCAATCTTGTCTTTGGTTTTCGTCAACAATTTGTTGATTGTGTTATATATCACATTCTCATTTTTTATTGTTTTTCGGAGTACTTGGTTATTTGTAAGTCCTAGTATGTATGTCACCCCAATGTATTTTTTGTTAGTGTTGTTTGGCTGTACTTCGGTGTTTTGGCTCGGTTGGCGAATTTGGTTTATTGTTGTTTGTAATAATCTTTCTATTA